CACTCAGTCATCTATCTGTCCACCCAGCCCACAACCCCATTTATCTCTTCACTTATCCGCCTGTCTATCCACTCGTCCTTTTCTCCGTGCAACAAGCAGTGCAATGTCCAGAATGTTCTCACATTAAAGATGGGTATTTCTGGGATAATATGGGAGATCCCTAGGGAGAGAAGGGAGGCCCTGGAGGCTTTTCCTTTTGTTTTCCAACCTTTCTGTACTGCTTGAGTTTTCTAGAAGTTCAAGCAGAACGAAAACATCTATCTAAACACTTCCACTGAAAAGCATTAATGACAGCCATCTATGGAGAAATTAGAGTCCTCTGTTTGTTTTCTCCTCTGGACAGCTCTGCACCAAAGCCTATTAATAGCACCCCGAGGGCTATTTTCAGATACCCCTCCTTCGGAGGTCTTCCCTCGCCCTCGGGTCCCCTCTGTCACAGTGCGTTGCTCTGCTCCTGCACAGCCACTGTCCAGGTCTGCGATTACACGGTGTACTTTTGATCGGGGCCAGCTCCGTAATGCCAGCAGCGCTATCTTGTCCCCGCGGCACCCCCAGTACACGCCCGCTGTCTGGGACATGGTAGGAGCTCGGGCGGGTGCTGTGGGGAGTGGACGCGGGGTCAGCCCGGTGGCATTTACTTCGAGCCGCAGCCCCCCGGGCTCTCGGTGCCCCGGGCAGATGGTGTCAAATCCCCGTCTGGTGCTTGGCAGTGGGCGGGGAAGACGAACCCACAGCAGTGCCCACAGTGGTGCCCACAAGAGGGGGTGGGAACCGAGAACTTCCACCTTGCCACGCGCCGGGCGCCAGGCCAGGTGCTCAACAGACAGGGCTCCAGGTAATCCTGGCCAGGGGCCCAGAGTTAGTGTCCCCGACTCCTCCTTACGGACGCAGAAACCGAGCTTCCCAGGGGCCAGGAGGGGTGCCTGGGGTGGCAGAGCCAGGAAGTGGGAAGGCAAGGGTCCGAGCTCAGCTCTCCCTGCTGTCAATGCTACTCCTGTCACTGACGGGAGAGACCACAGGGGCTGTGGGGAGCTGGTGAGGCAAGGGAAGGGGGGCTTCTGGAGGGCGACGGGGGAGGTGCTGGGCTGGGGCAGAGGCGAGGCGGGGAAGGAGAGGAGTGGGTGGCAGCCGGGCAGAGAGGGTTAAGGCAGGCTCCTGAGAGGGGGCAGAGGAGCAAGGAGGGGGTGACGGCAGGGGG